CAATACTTCCGTGGAAAAAAGAAAACAAGATCTCATTATTTTGATAACTGTATGAATGTTCCGATCGATAATATATGAAGAATTCTAGCATGCTGGCATAGATGCTAGTAGCAGAACTGTCACGTTTCAGTCAAGTCTTTAACGTCTTTAGAAAATCGTCAATAATAAATTGTGGTTCGACTATAATACGATAATGCTTCATTAACTCTATTATAGCCTGTTGATAATTAATATTGAACTAAGCTCCGTTTTTTGCAAGCAATTGATATCGTACAATGATGAAACCAACTTTCAGTATCGTTTCTTTCGTATTACACGTCAGAATAAACCGAGCGAATCGCATATGCATGCCGAGGGCTTCATTTACGAGTTGAGCTGTTTCTAGATCAAGAGCCAGATGTTGAACAGCATCTACGAACGTAGCATAATTTGTTATAGTACTGATAATCAATTCCAGAAACTTTTGATAAGTACATATTACTCGTCGCGTATTGTTATATGCTTTATAAATACTCAAGACTTGACAAAAGGGTGGTTCAATAGCAGAGAGTTGAGCATGATGTGATATGCATCGATACCGCAACATGATTTCTAGATAGGATGAATATGTTTCAACCAAAATTGAATCGTCGAGATTCTTACAAATGTCGAGAGCCTTTTGAAATTCTTTATCAACACCGAGATAATCATTGTGTTCTTTAAGGATTGTTTGAATCAAATGCTCGAAAAGGATAATAACCGTCTTCCGATGAGTGTTCGTACAACAGGAAATATTGAAGTACGGTGAAATGAAGAAGGACTCTATATAACCAAATGTTTGGATCAAGTCATCATAAGCACGAACAGTCGAGAAAAAATTCTCTGTTCTCATGTAAAATTGAGCAAATGTGGTAAAACATGGAACTGTATGTTTACAGATATGTTTATTCTGTTTGAAATCTACCATTGCAAGTCCACAGCATTGTTCTTCTTTGACAGGATCGTTCTTTTTTTCATATAAATGTCCGATATAACAAAAGATGCTGTTGTCAACGCAGGATGACTGTTGAATTTCCAGCTTACCTTGGTATGTGGAAATAATCTGATCGAGGTTATTGTTTAAATATGCCACGTTATTCGCACAAATCTCTTCAATAGAAGTATTTTCAATAAGTGACTTGACTTTCATGAGCAATTGACGAGCCGTTTCGAAGTTAATTTTCGTGTGCTCCGCCTCCCGAGAAGCAAAGTGTGGCGCTAACGCTGCTATTTTCAAACAGCAATACACAAACTGGCGTGGGTGTCGAATCACTCGTTTGATCTAAATATTGTTTTTTTCCAAATGTATTGACTAAACATTTGTAACATTCAAAAAGATTCTCGACATCATCGTTTCGGCAAAGTTCCAATGCATCGATACATTGCTTAATTGACTCTTGATAATTTTTCCAAGCTTTTAGATATAGACACGATAATTCCAAATAGCACTTTAAAACAATACGATAATCATCTCGACTAACATTAACCATACTTACATGAAATGTTGATGATTTTTTGGAAATAATCTATGGCCATCATGTGGGTTTGCTCGTTTGTTTTGAACTCGAAACCAATCGCAAAAATGCATGAGATTATACTTCGGCGATAATTCGACGACATATCTGTTAGAGTATGATCGAGAAATGCTTTCCAGGTTTGAGAAATGATCAGAAATGTATGACTATGAAAACGACTGGATGATTTCATTTGAGAAACCAAGATCTTTTTATATGTCTCCCAGACGCGATCGAAGCAATATTCACTGACGTGACGTTTTTATACAAATCATACATGTCGTATTTATCGATGGACACTTTTGATGTCGGGTAGTTCATCGGCTTTCATAAAATATTCAAGTGCTTCATCATATTTTTTCTTTATTCTTAAAGCGCATCCAATACAATTGTAATTTGTCATACAAAGGAAAGCTATGCTGTCACTTCCGTCATTTAATCCATCATAAAATGCCAAAGCTCTTTGTTGCCTTTCGATAGCTAAATGCTCATTCTTTTCTTTTAACCCTTTCAGTCCCGGCTTTTTTGCGAAAATCGAATTTTTTTAATAATATTTCTAAAGATGGTTTTTATTTCTTCAAAAAAAAAATACATATTTGTCTCAAGCAGTTATTAGTAGTTCATCTTTGTATGGTAGTCTTTGAAGCCAGCGACGCATTTTCTTCGAGGCTGGTTTGATTGTGACGTTTGTGGAATAAGTGCAAGAAAATGTCGACCAGTTAGACCAAGAGAAGAACCTCCTATTGATGGTCTCCCAATCATAGTTGATCTTTGTGGTTCATGCTTCGTCAAAATTTGTCTGATTACTACAAGTCGAAAATCAGATAGATCAGAGGAAATATTGTTCTGCATTTTGTGAGCAATAAATGCATTATATACTGTCATATACAAAACATAGAAAAATAGCTTCTTATACCATTTTAGTGACTGTATTGGAATGTACTAGAATGAGAGATAGTGTGTATTATCATACAGAGCGAAAGAAAGCGCATAGAATATAAATATGTATTATTAATAAGCAGAAAGGAAAGAAATGAGGATTACTCTAGAGTCGTACTATTAAATAAAACGAGTGAGAGGCGTTATAAACAATTAAAAACTATATCAGGAGTATCTTTGTCAAATAATTGCATTTGGACGCATATATGTGTCGCCGGGACTCAAAGGGTTAAATCATGACACTGTCTTTGTACATTGCTGTCAAAAAACAATCGTCACAATGGTTAAAGACAAATTTCCACTTGTTCGAAAAGTTGTGTATGTTTCTGATGGAGCAGGAGTGCACTTTAAAAAGAAGTACAATATGTATAATCTTTCGTGTCATAAAGAGGAATTCGGTATAGGAGCTGAGTGGTTATTCACGACAACGGGACATGGCAAAAGTGCTTGTGATGGTTAGTTAAATAGCATTTGAATCATATTCTAAACTCTATGTGGATTGAGTCTAAACATTTGTTATGTGATCATGTGTTTCATTTCTTCTTGTAGGTATCGGTGCTGCCCTCAAATGTTCAGCAACACGACATATATCACAATCCCAAAAGAAAACTTTTTTTCATCTGCTGAATATTTCTACAAGTTTTGCCGTGCTCATAAATCGTTATCATCGAAAATCGATGTTTTTTTCATCGAAAATAATTATGTTCTGTAACAGACGTACATACTGAATGAACGATGAAAAAAGCTGCCCACAAAAAAGTAAGTTTCTTTCTTAATCGATCAATCACACATATATTTTTGTTCGAAGGCTGGATTGTTGGTATCAAAGGCTTTCGTCATTTTGAAAGTCCAAGTACAGGTCATTTAATCTGCAAAATAACATCTACTTCATCAGAACTCCACGAATTTACCTTACCTTAGTGAAAATTTACTTTTATCAATATCTCATAGAATAGATATGTATCTATGCAAACAATTCCTCATTTTATTGATTATTTATAAAACGAATGATGACATATTTCTACTTGATAAATCACATCATAGGTGGACAGATTGTACTGTTTACATACCATAAAGGACTTGGAAAATAGGACTTTTTTTGGTCATGCTATTCCGAGCGATATCAAATTGGAGACAGGAACTAAGTATAGTAACATGTAGGCTGAGGTTAGTACCTCACTAAATAAGTGATTAATATACTCTCAAATTCTGTATACGTACGAAACATTGGTCGCAACATGGTCCATTTTCACTAAAGAGCATTAGGGGTGTCCTAGTGTACACCATGGTATTTCACAATGACAAACTTTGAAAGGAATGTTTCTTATATCGTTTAAGGGCCAACAGCTGTATGCATAAAATCTGACTAGAATGAACCACCAGTCGCTGAGATCTTATGCCTATCCATATACATGAAAATGGTCTATTTTTGCTGCGTTTTTATTTTTGCAAAATCTTAGGTAGCGTAGTGAGCATAACAGCGACATCAATCCGGTCGTTTGCTGATGATTACAATCTATAATCACAGTGCTTTGCCAGCATATATAGAGCTGGGCTTCATGATGGCGTTTAGGTAGAAAAATTGTATCGTCAAAATCGAAAAAGGTAGGATGCCGATGAGTTACGATGCTGATTTCTTTACCACTTAAATATCGTAATGAGAGGTCCGAATACAGAAAGTTTCAGTCTGATCGCCGAGGGTCATTGTAATGGTGGGAGATTTCCGGTGGAACTACCCATATTTAAATTTACTGATGAGATGTACAAATTTTAATGTACAAGAATCTTCATAGAGATTTATGTGAAAAAAAGTCAACGGTTACTTTTGATTGTAGGTTTCCAGTCTATCAGCTGAGGATGTTGGAAATAAAAAGCTTTTAAAGATCATTTCTCTACTGAATAGTAGGTTTGTATTTTATTTAAGAATAATTGACTGTTACAAAATGAAAAATGAAATCGATAATTCAAATAAAAGAAGTGGATTTATAATTTTTACAAGAAATAGTGACAAATTAAATAATAAGTAATATGAGAAAAGAAATTTTGGAAACAGGAAAATGATTTTAAAAAGCAATTTAGAGTTGAATGAGCAGAAGCAGTGATAGATAAAGAAGTAGTTTACAACATAGAATATTGATCGGTTAATTCATATAATGAAAATATTTTATACGAAATCTCCATTAATATAACTCAGCACTGTTCAAGGGCCCAATATTGTATCCACCTATAACTAATATGGTGCCATTTGTTAAGACAGATGCTGTGTGATAGTCTCGTGGATAAGCCATACTTGCTGTTGTTGTCCAAGTATTAGTTGATGGATCATATAATTCAACACTGCCTACAACATTACCGTTGCTGTATCCACCTACAACTAACACTTTTCCATTCGCCAAGACAGATGCTGTGTGAAAAGTTCGTGTATAAGTCATACTTGCTATTGTTATCCAAGTATTTGTCGATGGATTATATAGTTCAGCGCTGCTTAAAGAACTACTATTCATGTTGAATCCACCTACAACTAACACGTTTCCATTCACCAAGACAGCCGCTGTCTGACTTCGTCGTGGATAAGTCATACTTGCTTTTGTTGTCCAAGTGTTTGTTGATGGATTATATAGTTCAGCGCTGCTTACAATACTACTAGTGCTGAATCCACCTACAACGAACACTGTTCCATCTGCGAAGACGGATGCTGTGTGAATTCGTCGCGCGTAAGTCATACTTGCTGCTGTTGTCCAAGTACCTGTTGATGGATTATATAGTTCAGCGCTGCTTAAAGAAGTACTAGTGTTGTATCCACCTACAACTAACACTGTTCCATTCGCTAAGACAGATGCTGTGTGATAAGCTCGTGCATAAGTCATACTTGCTGTTGTTGTCCAAGTATTTGTCGATGGATTATATAGTTCAGCGCTGCTTAAAGAGCTCCTATTAATGTTGTATCCACCTACAACTAACACGTTTCCATTCGCCAAGACAGATGCTGTGTGAAAAGCTCGTGCATAAGTCATATTTGCTATTGTTATCCAAGTATTTGTTGAGGGGCTATATAATTCAGCGCTGCTTAGAGAAGTACTATTAATGTTGTATCCACCTACAACTAACACTGTTCCATTCGCTAAGACAGACGCTGTGTGATAATCTCGTGCATAAGTCATACTTGCTGTTGTTGTCCATACTAGATTTAACAAATACATCAATGAAGGCATGTTACTCTACATCTTCAAATCAGTTTCATCGCTTAACTGTCTACTTACTATTACAAACTGAATAACTTTTATACTGTATGAATGCTTCTTTTCTTTTATAAGCAGTTTTGGACCATATTTTACAATTTTATAATACTTTGAAGTAAAATATTGAAAAACGAAAGATATATTCATATTTTAGTCAAAATATGTAGATCAATGAATTTATAATCATATCGTTATTCGTGTAATGTACAAGATCAGTCTCAATCCATTTTCAAGTGACAGAAAAAATATTATATTTCTATTATAGAATTCTTTCTAGACAAAATTATATGAGCAAATATAGACGATTGTCTTAAACTTTCTAACAACTGTTAATCGAATAATAATATTGATTTATCAATATCTGATTACAGATAAAAAAATATCAACTTAAAATTTGACATATCATTTAACTGTTCAAATCTTTGACTAACACCCAGGTTATTACGGTACGATCGCTTCCGGCCCGAATCGAGAAGAACTCTACCGGAACCGACTCAGATTTCAACCGATCCAGTCGCTGGAATGATCGACCTGGGGCAATTCGGAGTTTATCATCTAATCTATAAAGTGAAATTGTATTGAAGATTTATTTAACTAATACTATATATATTATTAGTGTAAATATAGAGGAGAAAATCTATTAGAAGCCTTGATCTCTCATAGAGTCAATAGTCTCGAACACTGTCCTTTCTGTTGAAAAAAGCTTTCAGCGCAATCCCTAACGGGATTAAAAATGTGAAACACGATCCACCTGGAGAAACTTTAAGCACATATACTGGTCAATTTATTTAAACTTATGCTGTCGAAAACGGACCTGTCTGTGAGACAATGAGACAGTTTATTTGGATTTTTTCCTAAGAAGTTCTCACTCTTCATTTTTTAGGTGCACGTCTTTACAGAAAACAGTGAATTACGGTCAAGTATAGTAACAACTCCAGGACAGACGGGTTATAGGTTACATGCGTGTCAAAAGGCAGGCGGCAACAATAAGTCCCGTTAGACTCCGTAATGATCTACGGGATAAGGACTAGCGGGCGGAAAATCCCTCTGTCTTCCCAAACTCTTTAACATCTTTCTGCGAGTCTTGTCTTACAAAAAAAGAATGGAACAGTTAGCTTAATACCAAATACGTCCGCTGTAGATGTTTTTACTGCAAATAGAGTATTAAACCTATGAACCTTACCTGGTAGTAGTTTGCACTCTATGACCTTTACTCTCTATATAAGGTAGAGTATTACAGCGCACTTGTATGTAGTGAACCGCTTATCCCTAATGACCTTTGAATCTTTTGGTCGAAGTATGAATTTCTTAACGGTCTATGATAGGATTTTCGTCCTGTCGGAGACGGTCTGTGGGTGAGGGTGGTCAAAATTTTTACCCTTAAACACTTCAACACTCTCCTTCGGATCGTGTTTCACACAAGATTAATCAGTATCAATACTTCTGATGTTGGTTTGAATAATTTTTCAAATGAAAAATAATAATTGTCGAGCAAAACAAGAACTTTATCATAGCGATCGATTTGAACGGATGTACTAAAAGAAGTGATAGCTATGCGATCATATGACTTACCGCGGGGTAGTTCTGTTGTTGATACTGACATTGTTGTTGATGATATTGGAATCAAAGTTAGATCTATTTTAAAAACAACAATTTTACATTAATTAGAAAAGTTAGAATGAACATTGCATTTTTAGTTAAATGATTTATGTCATGTTTCTAGTAATGTTTTTCAATATTTGAGAAAAAAATCTTTCATTAGGACTGTATTCAAACATCCGCAATCGTTTCATATTCATAAAGGAGTTTAGTGTTTCTGGTCCTTTTAGTTCTCCTATCTCTCAAATTCGATAAAAAACGATAGATTGTGAATTTAAATCAATCAATCGTTACAGAGAATAGTTTTTCTATACTTCTATTTCTCTGAGTATATTCTCATATCGACTAATCTTAATCGATACAAACCGGGCGGGTATCGTGTTCCAATAATTGTAATCATTGTTATAGCGTTCATTTCATCTGACATATTCCCGTTTTCATTTAGTGAATCATTAAATAATTGACATTGAGAATTTGATTTATAAAAAGTAGCTGCCATACATTGATTTCGATTTAAACAAGCGATTTGACATAACAGGATGTTTGATGTTGTCAGATTGTTAAATGGTGAACAAGTTGATTGTGCACATTGAAATATTTTATCATTGATTATTGTAATTTGAACCGATCGAATATTATCTGCCATTGTTTGTATAATAAACATCAATAATAACAGTAGCCAAACATTTCTTGAAGTCATCTTGACAGTAAATGTTAAATTGATAAAATGAATGGGACTTAAAAGAAAATACTCTTCAATGATTTCTCTCATTCTTTCCGTTTTCTGTGTTTACTCCATTAGTTGAATGAAAGATTATACATTCATGAACGATGCGAGGAGAAAACGAGAGAGAGAATAAAAGAATAATTTCACTAATGCATATCTCACTTCTATCGAAAGCTATCATAATTTTCACAATGAAAATCTGTTTTTCGAGGACGTAGAAGAGAATGAAAGATATAGATTTGTTTGTCACTGTTTGATTTATTGTAGAGTAAAGATATCATATTATTTTTCTCGTTATACTGATAAAGAGTGTTTAAAGGAACAAAAAAGTCAAACGCTACACGGAAAGACAAAAGATTCTAGAACTATTGTCATTAATAAATTTAAATGTACTTTTTAATTAAATGAGAAGAAAAATTCAATTTTATTCTAGAAAACAGCAAATTCTATATTAAAAATTCGTTGAAAATTCATTTTACATCGAAAAACATGTGAAAGAAAGTGGTTGATAAATATCCTTTTTTTTTACCCCAGATCTTTTCATTTCATTACGATGGTTATTTGACTTCAGGTATACATAAGCACCTAAGAAGTAAAAGTGATGAATTAGAAAACACTCCGAAGATATAGACTTTCTGTCTGTATAGTCCCTTACAATGATGAAATTCAGTGAATTTTACTGAACAAATCTTTCTTGAAACATGGCAAAATAAACCAAAAAAGAAAAATTCATCGTTATACTTGTTACGTACATTGTTAAATTTCGGTTGAAATATTTAAATTGGCTATTTTAGACAAGATAAGGTATGAAAAAGAAAATAGTTGTACGAAGTGAATTGTATACAAAATAGATCAGTTGGATAGGTTAGAATTTATTAATTATCGAAAAGCTTTATTCTTTCAAAATTATATTCACTTTTACATCGAGAGAAAGGAAATAACAAAAGTGAGAAACTACGCCCGAATAGACATTCAACTCCATTGCGCAGAATGAGTTCTAGAAATGTGCATAACTACGGAATAGTATATGTTATTAAATGTTTTCATAGTATATTTTGATGTTGAATAATAGTTTTTCGAAATTATTGCCGATGGAATTTTGATGGAAAAGTCAGAATTAATGTAATAAATAAAATAAAATATCCCATAAGAAACAGTCATGTATCATTATTTGTTTTCGAAGTATAGCAAGAATAACTAAAAGAAAAGGAACAATCTTTTTTTTTTGTTTTAACATTAATAATTTATTTTTGTGTTATAAAAAGTTCTCAAAAAAAGAACATGTCCTTATGACATCTACTTATACAAAAAGTGCTCAAGTTTTAGGGTAAAAAAATATCTCGTTCCAATGTTCAAAAAATTTTGATACATGAAGAATTGTTACATGAGAAAAAGCAAGAGCTATGGTTCACTATAGAGAGAAAAAGAGAGAAATGCATATATATACAAGTAACTCTCATCATTTGGATTCCCTGACCCTTTTCTGAAAGACTTTTTATACGCTGAACACATTCAGAGACTTTGAAAGAGAAAAAACGCACTGCGATTGCTACTAGTACTCAACTGAATCATGGCACTACGTCACACACTAGAGTGAATAGGATACAGAGGTCTTTTTAGCAAGCAGACCGATTAGCCGTTTGTCAGCGGATGGTTCTCCAGCACTAACTATGTTGACTGAAAAATTCATTGCTCAACGACTAGTCAGACGGTCACTCACGACCAACTATTGACCTTTGTCATCTGTTTTTCTGTTTTCACATCGCGCGTATGGAAATTTTCATAAATGATTTACTAAATCATCCATAGACGGACGATATACAGTAAACTACTTGAAAAGTTTGAACATTCGCCTGTGTCTTCTAGCCATAAACCGATTCTTTTCTCTCCTGTCAACAAAATGATACCTTGTCGAATATTTTCATTGGGGAATCAGTGATGGGATCGGTTTGTGTTTTCCGGGAATCGAACCGAACCGTCTGAAAAAATATGAAAACCGGATCGAATAGAACCGAATCACCTTTTTGCACTTTTCGAACCGAATCGAAGCAGTAATACCACAAATCGAACCGATTCAAACCGAAGTAAACCGAAGTATGTCACAATCTTATAGTTCTGGTTACAAATAATAATTGAGCTGTTGAAACATTCCATTCTCGGTATAAATTATTATTTAATTCATCAGGTACAAAGATTACTTTGTTTATTTGACAAAAATTCATACAATGAACAATAAACTTGCTGACATTAGAGTTCGATAGTTTCACACTCTATTGATTCACCAAATCTCATTTTGAATAAAGCATATGAATGATTACATACAATGTCGTTGACTGTATTAGGGCATAATCTCGAACGTTTTTGAGTGATAATGTTACCTGTGAAACTAAATTCTCGTTCTACCGCACTACTTGTTGCAGGTACAGCCAAAACTCGAGCTGCCACTTTATATAGAACTGGATAGGATGAGTGTCTAGCTTTCCAAAAACATAATGGGTTGTATTCGTCAGTTCCTTGATCAGTATTTCCGTTAGTTGTTCTATCTACACCGTGCTTGAGATACATATCAATTTCCATTTCATGTGCTGAGATTTTTGAAGATCCGTGTCCACCGACATCCTCTCTCTCTGCTATTAAATAAAAATCAGCCATATACGAACTTGAAGTATTTCTTCGTAATTGAATTTCTTTTCTGTGTGACGGTGATGGTACCTGTTGATCAACGTCAAAGATTAACATTTCTTGTTTAACATACTCTAAACATTCTTCTCTTTGTTTTGCCGTTAAAAATGTCATTTTACGAGTTTTCGGATTGAAGAAAGTTTCTATCAAATGGATAGGATCGAAAATAATCATTTGTTTCATGATTTGTTTCGCTCGTTGTCGAAAAAACATAATCCCTTTAAATGAAACATCATTCTATCTATACAAAGCCACACGAAGAAAAAATATTTACCTTTCTCTTGTTTAGAATCATTTGCTTTAATATCTAACGATGAATTGACCATAAAGATAATGGGAGTAACCGTATGAACCGAAGGAACAAGTGAAGACTGAACTCGTTTCATAACGTATGTCCATGGTTTTAAAAACTCAATTAATTTATCCAACATAAATATACTAATAAGATTTATTCGCTTTTTTTCCAAATGCTTTTCGTCGAATATTTCTGTTAGCGCTGTTAAAGATCCTCGTACACTCTTTAAACAGTTGTACAAGGAAAGCCAACGTACAATTGTACTTTGTATAAGAATTGCAGTGTTCTTCTCTTCTAAATCTTGATTTAAATTCACCTGAAATAGGTTGCATTATGTATCGTCTTTCTAAACAAAAATTTACCTTTTTGACATATTGTACTAATTCTTTGGAATGAATAATAGTTATTAATAAACGTTTGGCATCAGATGGTAATTGAGCAATAGTTGTTGTTGCATTGTTTTTATTTGAAATGGAAGATGCATAATTAATATTTTTAGTTCGTTTATCAAGTAATTTTTCATCAATATCACTATCCGAAGATGCTTCTTCGCTTTCACATCCACTGATTTCATCATCTTCATCTTCAGCTATTGTGACATACAAATCTCCAAATGCAATGTCCTTCTTTGCTTTGCTAGTTTCCGCTTGATAAAATGTTTTTTGAAGAATATTATTGAGTCTATGCCCAATGCAATGCACCACCGTAAACTTGTCTAATGCCTTTTTAAGATTACTACCTCTATCACACACCCATATGATATCGTCCATAAATGGTTGTAAATCATAAAGTGCCAGTCCTTCCTCAATTACCTAGTACACAAGCAATTATACATATAACGAACAGGAATGACAACGTCTTACCAAGAAAACATTTTTCGATGTTTTGTTTGGTTTTCGAAATGGTAAACAAAACAGTTCAAACGAACATAAATTCCAATTTTCATCCACCCACTGAGCAGTACAACCGAGATAAGATACCTTCTTGTATCCGTCTGACCAAATATCTGTAGATAAGGTTAAACATCTTCTCTTTGCAGCTTTGATGAGAGTAGTTTTCATTTGATTTCTTCCAGCACTAGCCATATGTTTTATTTCTTTGTTGACTGTTCGTCTACACGGTAAAAGTGAAGATCCAGGTATCGGACCATACATATAACCTTCAAAATAAAACAAAAACAACAGAGCGGATATTATCATGACAATCAAAGCAAGACATACCAATATGGATGCAATGATCCACAAAAGCTTTTAAACCAATATCTTCCACCATATTGACAGGACGTGTTCCTGAACATAACCATTCGCTCAATAGACTGGTTAGTTGATGCTTGTGTTTTTCAAGATTCTTTGTATTAACAGGTTTGGGTGTATTACGAGTAGGTGATGATGCAATTGATTTCTCCGCCGGTAATTTCAAATGTAGGCTGATTTTTAGCAGCTCCTAGTGGACATTTATGGTTCGAAAGTGTGTTTGTTGTCGAACAATAAGCATAAGTTTGAAAACATTTCTTACACGACGCAAACTTGTTGAGAACTTCGTATTTATCAGGTCCTAAAATTTTCGCCGGTAAACCAAATGTAGACCAGCATGATACGTTTGAATGTTTATCGATTATTGTATATTGATCTTTCTTGTATTTTAAACAGAGAGTAATACTATTTGTTGTGTGATACTCTATGGTATCTGCCGCACCATTGCTTCCATTATTCATTATTTGTACAGTAGAAGATGAAGATGCACTTGAGGAAGAAGAAGTGTCCATTTGTCTATATTCAAATGGCTTTACGATTGGAGATACTTCTTTGAAAAGAATCTATCGAAGAAGATATTTATGGTTAACCAAGGAGAAAATAAACACGATTAAATAACACGAATGTCTGTAAAGAGAGAGCAGAGAAAATAGACGTGGGGTAATTATTCTGTTTGTGTGTTCTATGTAATCGTAATTTATTTGTATAACATTCCAATCGGACGTACTTCACTGTATCACATCCGCTGACGACATCTGTATTCTTTCGACTAAACTTTTTTCCTATTCTTCTTACTTGAATTGACGTCATTGCGAAATGCTCTTACACATATTGAAACAGGTCAACATAATTACTTCGAATCGAATCGAACCGATCCCATCACTGTGGGGAATATCCATTCGTCAAATCCCTTTCAAAATTATCGGAAGCCTGACAAGGTTATTCTAAGCGTACACTTTAAGATTAATTTAGCATTTAAACGCCTGGTCGTTCGTCGACCTCCCTCCGGTCGGTCACTCGCTGCTAGCCGCTGCCATGTTGTCTCTGTTATTCCTCTCGCCTTTGATTAACTTTCAAACTGAATGATTGGGCTTTCTTTTATTGTCGCTTCGATTACCAAAAGAAACTAGATTAGGATGTCTTATTATATGATTTGCTTCGAAACGAACATCTTTCATAGTGCTGCATCTGTTCAGAATACTGTTTGTATAGTCCACGCGTCTGTAGTTACAAAGATGGAATTCCACTGACGGGTATACCACTATGCGAACTACTTCTACTAAATTCCCATGAAAGGACATGATGTATGTAGCCTACAAAGCAAAGATGATACCAAGCTCATATCACTTTTTCGGATTTCTTGAATTAGAAACATCATTATATACAATGTATTAGATCTTTTCGTGTAAGCTCTTGAGCTACTGTCTTCGTACGCATGACGTCTATGAATAGCATACAGCTCACCATCTTCTACAGAAGATTTCAGAACAGATAAAGAAAAATATCTCCTTTGTAAAGAGGAAGGAAAAAGCTCAGGCTCAGCGAATAAGACGAAATTCACCCTCAACTTCGAATTTCCCGACGTCAGAAACCCTTCGGTCGACTGTGACAATGGATGTTAATAAGTCGTGGCTAGTTAATGAAAAACTAATAATTAATTAAGCATCACTAACGTCGGATTCGAGATCTTCGACCTCGATTACCCTTCGGTCAACCCTTACCCTGTATATTAATAATCTATGTCTAGTTGACAGATAGCTAATTAATAGTTAATAGTTAGTTAAAACTAACCTCAGATTCAAGTTTCTCGACCTCGATTACCCTAGGGGTAATCATTTTCTAACAACTATCGATCAATTTCATTGATTTTAGAAATGCTGATTTCTGATTGGATAGGACAGACAGACAGACAGACAGACAAACTTTAAGCTTTTTAACACAGCATTTAAACGCTGTATAACCCTTTCTTTCAGAAAAGGGAAGAAAAAAATTAAACGTATCCGATGACTCTGGACCGGGAAATCTTGGAAGTAAAACGACCTGGTTTTTTACCTTGTCTGAGTCAGATCTCTGGAAGCCTATGTGATATCAAGCTGAGAATTTTACCACAGACTCCTCACTTCAGTGCCAAGATAAGCTGTAAATTTCAGCTCATTCTGACTTTCCTGGACCGAGTTCGTCTTTTGAGGGGGGCTTTAATATTTTCAAGTGTTTCCTTCGTTGATATAATCGAGGATATATTTCAGTCATGCATGAATAGATAGATTGAGTAATTCTGTGGATAATTGTGGGCACTCATAGCGGCGTTTGTGGAGATTACAAGAGCGATATTGGCTGGTCGTGTTAATGTGCAAATCTATTTTGGCCCATTTCATGTTTCCACAGATTATTTTTCTAGAAAAACTTGAGCTAAACACATAAATTTGCTAGTCAAAAATATAGATTATGTAGTTCTGGATGTAGTTGTAGGTCCCCACAATGACGTTTGCGAAGGCTATAAGAGAGATTTTGGGTGATTGTGTTAATAAGGGATCTAGCTTTTAATGTTTGCTAGTGGTTTGTTTTCTCAAAGTCCTCTTCAAAGTCGGTGAGTACAGACAGTGATGAGCATAACTCATCGAACTGTGGATAGCTGTCAGGAGAACTGTTATGATGTCTCAAAAAGTTGGGTGGCTATGTTCGTTGCATAAATTGCAGATACCCAAGAATTGATCACATTTCTAGGTCGCATCAAATTCTTATTAGTGACATTCATTGTGGCTCGAAATGCCCGTACACGTTATCCGACGTTTGCGTCATATTGTTTGCGTAAGCAGTTGCAACTTGAAAAAAAAACTTTCAAGAGAGAAAGAGAAAAATATTGAAAACTAAGAAATGTATTTGCAGAAAGAAGTATCAAACTAAACGAGCAATACCTATAAAGCAAACCATCGAAGAAGAATTATTGGAGAGATGTTTTTTTTGTTAAGCACGATGAATTCTGATGTTTTTCTTTAATTATTCCGCACAGTTGCAAAAAAAGTACATTGTTGTTGACTGTTCCCCGGTCCATATTTGATGAAGACTCTCAATAGAGTATTGTATTGAAGCATAAGAACCAAGAGAAATATGAAGGTCAAGACATCGATTATTGTTACTTCGATTTTGACCTAAATCCATTATTAGGTAACAAATGTTAGACTCCATCGAAAATGCTCAGGTCAGTCATTCAACGTAAGTCTGTTGATGCATAGGTAGATCGTTTTTTACTATCAATTCATTATTGTTGAGAAAACGTCAAACATTAGAGTGGAATGGTTTCAAAAGTATACAGAATGATCTAGTATGAAACATTCTTCAGATTACGAATGTAAAATTTTTCGCTTCAATTCCGTATTTTTCCGTTGTATAAGTTCATTTCTTAACGTACATAATTGAAATAAACCACACTTTGGTCATTCCCACCGATTTCTATCTTTCGTCTGACCATGTGTATTTTATGAAAGATGATAGAACTAATTCTGATAACTCCAAATTTCAAACTACTATTGCGTTATTAATATTCATTTTTGGAAAGAGATTATTCAGCCTTTTATGATAATCTTGGATGGATTTCGATCATGATATAAAGAGACAGGTATCTCAAAATTTTACCAAACGAACGCGAACACTTTTTGTAAGTCATGTCTCAACACAGAAAGTGTAATTATGTGACACAGTGTTATCTACATACTCTGGCACTCGTCATGTTACATCTTTCAGTTTATTTTGCTTTTGAACACGCTTTATTAAATAATTCAAACACGAAATGTAAAAATTGTTGCCTATCAAGCACAGTGTGTCGTCAATTTGTGCGACTTTTTATACAATTTTTCTCTTACGTGTTCGATTTCCCTTCTAACCTATTTTTCAAAGCTTGTTTGTCTCTCGTTCTTTCTCTTTCAAGTTTTTCCTTTTGAAAAATGTTCTATTTGCCTCTGCAGATTGTTTTGACAAACTGAAGTTCGTTACCATCGAAAAAATTCTGTACATATATTTATCAGGCACAAATATAATCAGTATTAAAAACCATAAATAATAAATATTTTAAAGAAATGTTTTAGGAGTTTCTATTTCAGAGTTCACTAACCGATACATTTATCGTTAACACAATTTTTGACCAGTAAATATAGTTTCTTCGAAATGTCTATTGATAAAGTCGGAAGTACGTGTGAAAGAATGTTGATAAATATGTCTATGGTAATCAGCCATCGAAATCTTGAATTATTAAAATATTTAGGAATGTCAAGCTTTTTCAAAATACGTAATTTGGAATAGGAAATATTTCCTCATCCTTGAATAGTGTATTTGTCCGAGTAATATACAACAGTTGTATATGTTTGAAGATAATGTTAGTCGGACTGCAATATGATCTGATTTACTCTTTGAAATTCTCTTATTCGCTTCTCTGAGATGTTGCTGCTAAGTTACGTGCTTGAATACTAATAATTTTCTTTCTGCAATTATTTCAGATGTCATCTATTTTCTGTTGTCATCCAATGCTTCATATAATATTCCTAAGTTTCTGCTGGAGTTCTATTATTTGTTTATAGATTGAAATCTGAGATAATTGAAGTGTTTTTCCGACACAATCAAGTTCATATTTTGACGGGAAACCTTCTTTCTGTACGTATTGCAGTATTAATTACGCTAATATCTTTTCACATCTTCGAAATGGTAGTGGTTTATACATTACTTATACTTTTTCTTATCGAAAGTGTATTTGGTGGAGTCTCTTATAATTGGACATACACTTACGATGCTAGTTCAACTGCTTGGAATCCATTGAAAGGCTTGGTTCCTTACTATTATGGAACAGCATCTCAACCTCAAGTGAATTTTCCTCATTCAATGGAAAATCAATACTTTCCGATGAAAAATTTAATGTCTGGCCCAAATTCATTCGATTTTTCTTCGATCGACACTGTTCTAAGGAATACTGCAAGTAGAAATCATCATGCTATTGTTCGAGTCTATGTCGATTATCCGGGAAAAAATTTAAGTCTCTCTGTACCGGACTTTCTTTGGAATGGACTTACGTAAGAGCTGTCGCTCGAACAAACATTTTGAAAATAAGAAACTTTTTTGAATGTTCTAGTTTATATTCCGGAGGTTCTGGTCAAGGTCTCTTTCCTGATTACAATAATCAAACTCTTATTAACGCCATGGTTACTCTTATTCAAGCATTAGGTTGGATTTGCGTCTGATATCGTTCTATATTTTCTGTTGATAATATTTTGTTCAGGTCGAGCATACGATGGAGATATTCGAATTGGATTTTGGCAAGTAGGATTTTTAGGTCACTGGGGTGAATGGCATACTTCACCTAATTCGAGTTATTTTGCATCCAGTTCTTATCAAAGTCAAATTATTGCTGCATTTACTTCTTCTTTTGCTCGAACGAAACTTCAACTCCGTTACTTTGCTGTTACTGGAAATTACAATCCAACAAGTTTGAATGTAGGGTTCCACGATGATTCCTTCTTTCAAGATACGTATGGAGCATCGTGGATGTTTTATAATACCAGTGTAACAGTAGGAGCTATGAACCAATGGAGAAGTCAAGTAAGTCTTACTTGAATTTTCATTCGATGTATCATGATTGGTTCCTCTTAGCCAATTGGAGGTGAAGTTCGTCCTGAATTGATGCCGTGTGCATTTGCAAGCAATCCTGTAACAGCCTGTGGATCCATAACTGCATTAACCCCTTTAGACTGGCCTACATGTGTTCAATTGACTCATTCAACATATCAATGGCTTTTTTATGCTTTTTCTACTCCGGGATACACTGGTTCAGATTATAACAGAGCTGTCAACGGATCTATTATGCAAGGATACTCTTTCTATGTATCTCGAATAACCGCCACAGAGATGACTTGTTCAGGACTGTAAGCATATAATCTAGTATTTGCTTCTTCTTCTTCTTCTTTACTTGGTGAGGAAAGATTTCGATTCCGCTTTCTACTATATTTCAACACGGTCAGACAGAATACATAGTTGTAAAATTATGAGCTCTTTTTATGAACGAAATTATTCGATGACTACGAATTGTTTGTTTCTAGTTCACATGTTATGAGAATCGCTATAACAATGTCTAATGCTGGAATTGCACCATTTTATTATCCACTGATTCTCAATGTCAAAGCTGTTGATACGACTAGCAGCTCTCCGGATGTATACAAATCAATTTCTGTTCCAATTTCAAATCAACTCGATCAGATTTCCTTTGTTTACTCTTTCGACATAGCAGTACAAACCAATGGAGTTATACAATTTTCCATTTGGCTCAGTAGTCCAAATCTTGTCGGAAGTCAAGCAATTGTATTTGCTGTTTCCGGCGCTAATACTTCGGGAATCATTCAGCTTCCTACAGTATCTATAGGATCGTGTGCGATGGTTAGCTCTAGTGCAAGCTGTACGTCTTATATGGCTTCTGCTCAAGCTAATGGAACTCAAGGCACTTCATATGCTAGTAGTTCCAATTCTGGTAATTTCAGCGATCCATGCTTGTCGTTTGTCACTTTTACCACCACTACTTCAACGACAGCTACTAAGAATAATTGTCCATCCGTGCCAATGAACACTATGATGCTGATGAATCTGTTTGCATTAATTTTCCTATGCATCATATCAACTATTTAACTATCAAAAATATATTATTTGCCCATATACATCATATCTTCAACTATAAGGCTATAAACTCTGTATTTTCCAAACAAGAATATTTCTTTTCTAAATAATATAAATGAAAAAGCATTGATAAACAACTTGCTGGTATCGTGACAGTAATGCTAGTAAATCGAGTCAGAAATTCTTCTCGAGAAGAAGACTGAAATGATATTCTTTATCGAATATACTATGATCACAGAAGTGCAACTGTCACATATATTTCACATAACGGATGTGCATCGGCTTAACCCTTTGGGGACCGGTGACGTTTTAAAACGTCATTGACGGTTCACGCGATCTTTATACCTGAAAATTCTTTTTTTTTTTCACGTCTTTTCGAGGAAAACGTTGAGAACGCTTTCTTTACACATTCATCTTCTGACTTATAAGGTCATGAAGGTCATAAGTTATTTCTCCTTTCCGTCTATGCATTTCTTTTGCCTTTCTCTCCCGTCATCAAACATGATGTCATGATATCTTTTTTAATGTTTTCTGTCTGGAATCTTCGAGAAGATCCTCACTTACACTCCTGTCCGTATATATATATATATCTTGTTCTCGTTACGTTCAATTACAAGCTCATAGTTCCTGCATCATCCTTTTCATTCTATATAGGGCAACTTAAAGAAAAAGGAAGCTTAATCAAATGGAAATCGACGAAATTTTGAGTGATTCTGAATCAGAATTAGAAACAGAGTTTGACGATTTGGATCGGTCTTCGACAGATGACGAAGAAGACGATAAGAAAGCGACATTTCAGTCCCAAATACTCGAAAAAGACATGCTCCTAGAAAATGGCGTTTATCTGGCTTCGATCCAAAGGACTTGGTATTTTCCGATAGGATGTCAGGGCTTAGGAAAGAATTTGAAATTGGAGGAAACAAACCATCTGACTATTTTCGAGCATTTTTTGACAACGAACTAATGCAGAAAATTGTTGAAGGTACCAACAATTATCAACAGCAAACTGTCGCACCAAATGTCGAAAAAAATGCAGCTTGGTACCATACGAATGTGGAAGAATTGAATATCTTTTTCGCCACTACAATATTGATGGGATTGAATCAAAAGAATTACATAAAGGATTATTGGTCAACGGATAAACTGATTACAACACCAATTTTCGGAGAACTTTTCACAAGGAATAGGTATCTTTCTATTATGCGATATCTCCATTTTGCTGATAATAATACAGAAGAAGAAGGCAAGCTCCGAAACATCCAACCTATCATCGAGAATTTGAGAAAGAAATTCGAAAAAGCAGTAATTCCATGTGAGAATTCGTGTATTGATGAGAGCTTGATGCTATGGAAAGGACGTCTCAGTTTCAAACAGTACATCCCATCGAAAAGACACCGTTTTTGCGTGAAGCTCTTCATGTTGTGTGATTGTGATACGAAATTCGTTCTGAACTTCATCGTTTACATTGGAGCAGAAACAGAACTCGACAATCACCCCGAAGTTGGAATATCGGGCTCAGTAGTACGAACATTGATGAAAAATTATCTAAAGCAAAACCATACTCAGCCAAAACGGCTAACGGTCAACCAATATGATTGAAGTAGAAGTTAAAATTCAGCGATAGTGAACCTAGCCAAAAGATAGAGCGCACTTTTCTGAACAAAAAACTGTTTTTTGTTTTATTGGTTAGTGTTTATTTAACGAAAAAATATGGACGAAACAAACGGGTGTATTGATCAGTAATATTTCATGAGTCATCATGCTGTAAGAAGAATGTATACAGCGGGAGAGGTTAAGAGATAAGTAGCAAGTATCTTAGATCATTTTGAAGAGCAGAAGCTGGGCTCTCTTCTCATGTGTAAAAATATTTTCTAGATGGTTCCTACTCTGAGAAAAATGCCTTTGAAAAACCACAACAAATGTATGTCTGTGCGTTACCGAAAATCAAGTTTAGTAAATATTTGAGTGATACTAAACCAATTTACTTTTAAAACTCACACTGATTCTCTACCTACTTTCGATGGGCTATCCAATGAACACGTTGGTTTTTGGCTCAAGCGCCTTAGTGCGAAGCAATTTGGTAACGCACAGACACAAGGTTTGAAAAACTTTTATTAATTCATACATAAATCAGCTATAAATCATTTATTTTAGGTACAATTTTATATCTGATATACTTTTTCATTGTTTTTATGAATGACTACATTACTGCGAATAAAACACAAAATAAAAACACAAAAGTTCTTGATGGGATTTCTAGAAAACCTTGTCATTATTAATATTTTTCAATAATTCTAGATTTTTCGTCATATATATATATAGGAAGTTTATCGTACTGATTTATTTGGAAAACATTTGCTCAATATGAAGCTCACTGCTGCTCAGAAACAAAAGCGTTATCGAGAAAATCTGAAGAGAAAAGGTCGTCATAATGCTATGAAAGCAAAAAATCGTGAAAGGATGAGGAATATGCGCAGTGAATTATCCGATTTCCAGCGTGAACAGTATCGTAAACGTGATGCAACGGCTCGTAAAGCTGCTCGTGCTGCTAATGATCGGGCGTCAAAGTATGTTATTTTCATATGCATCACTATGAAGCAGCTAATTTATCTCATTTCATTCAGTGCATCATTCAGCTCAAAGGAGACTCTTGGTAAAGCGGTTAAAAAAGTGACCAAATGTCTTCCACAAGATCCATCAAAGAAAAGGATAGTCATACAAACAATCGCTCAATCTCTTGGATTAATGAGTCAGTCTCATCATAAACGTTCCACTCGTCAATTATCACTTAAAATGAAGGATGATATTATCAAATTTTATTGTCGAGATGACATATCGTATCAGATGCCTGGAAAGCGAGATACAATCGTTGTCAGGGAAAATGGAATAAAATCTACTCATCAGAAGCGAATTTTGTTATACAACATTCGTGAAGCACATCAACTGTTTCTGTCGGCATATTCTGCCTCTACTTCAGGTTATTTTGATAGCATATAATTTAGTAATAATATGTTATTTCTTTATAGGTTCAGTTGTTTCTAAAACAAGTTTCGCAGAACTACGCCCAGGATATGTATTAATCAAAGCACTAATGAGTCATCGTGTGTGTGTTTGTTCATATCACGAGAATGTGAACCTATTACTTGAAGCTTTATCAAAACATGTCAAAGGTGGAATGTGCTCAGATTTACAGACGTTTACAAGTGCTCTAGTGTGTGATGAATCGAATGAAGAATGTATGTCATCAAACTGCAAGACATGCGATAAATACTTCGATACAAAAATTCAAGGAAACATCGTCGATCTCACAATAAAGATTAAATGGCTTCAATGGAAGAACAGTAATGGTCGTGCCGAGAAACAAGAATCAGAAGGAACTGTTAAAGAGTGTGTTCAACATTTGTCTGGTCTTGTTGAACAATATCTTTTACATGTGTTCATTAAACGTGCTCAAAGTACCCTCTTTGAACGAATCAAAGAAGATACGGATGATCGGAAAGTCTTTTTACAAGTCGATTATTCTGAAAATTTCGCTATGGATCAACAGGACGCTATTCAGGCTGCACATTGGAACACAAAAACGTTATCAATTTTTACTGCACATGCATGGTGTGGTGCAGTCAATTATTCATTTGCGTTAGTATCTGACAATCTAACTCATGATAAGTATTGTGTTGACGTATGCTTGAATAATATCATTAGTAAACTCAATCAATATTTACCGAATTTGGAGGAGATTGTGTTTTTCAGCGACGGAGCTGCTTCGCAATTCAAGCAAAGATATTTGTTTCAAAATATGTCTAGATTAATGGCTGAATACAGCTTAAAATTATCGTGGAATTTCTTTGCCACATCCCATGGTAAAGGAGTAGTAGATGCTATTGGTGGTATGGTCAAACGAATGGTGTGGCAAGAAATCATGGTTAAAAAACAATGTCGATCAGCTACCGATTTTCTTTCTATCGCCAGAACGAAAACAAACACAATTATTCTAGACGAAATCTATCAAACGGATATAGATGCATCAAAATTGAACTTCAGCATGTATTCGCAACAACGAAGTCCGTGAAAGATACTCAAAAATTACATACTGTTATTGCTATTCGTCCGGATGTCATTGAATGTCGAACGTATGGTGATGCAACATCAAAATGGAGTGTTTTTTTCTAATTTTTTAACTTTTTTAAGTGAAAAATTTCTACCGTTTTGTACCAATAAGAATATATATAAGCGTTCGCAAAAATATAAAAAATCAGTGCTAAACGCTTGAAATATAAATGAACATTATTATTTTGATATTTCAAAGTGATATTTTTAGATTAAAAATAATTATTTTAAGATTAGCAAACTTTTATGCAAATACATGTCGGTGCGTTACCAAAATGTCTGTGCGTTACTTCAAATTTTGTCAATAACTCACTCATTTTTCAAGTAATTCATATTTTCTCTTTAGCAATAGATAGTCCTGATGTTCAGCTACAAAATTTTCTCTTACGAAAATTCATTAACATGGATTGTTTCGCAGAATCTATCGCATGTTTTGTATTCACTGAAAACCGAGGGCCTTTTTTGTCTGTGTGTTACCGACTACTATGTCGTCTATAAAATCGGAACGGCTGAACCGTTAAGGCTCAAACTTTGAACTATTATAGAACTTGTTCAGTTACATATTTGTTCAAAATATCAGATCTCTCCCTCTTACAGTTCTCCAGATACAACTATTCAAAGTTGAAAAAACGTCTGTGCGTTACCTGCGTTTTGCATGTACTCTTTTCATCGATAATTGGTTTTCCAGTCCTACATTATTCGAAAGATTATTGGAAGAGAGAACAAAAGCTTGTGGAACAGTGAGGAAAAACAGAAATGGAATGCCATCGTTTGGAAAACTCGCAAAAGGGCAACAAGCATATCAGACTACTGGTGAACTATTAGCACCCAAATGGATGGACAAAAGAGAGGTGCACATGCTTACCACACTGCATGAACCTATCATGGTAGAAACTGTGAAGAACGACAGAGGAACAGGTCAAAAAATCAAGAAACCTCTCTGTATTACACAATATAACAAAAACATGAGAGCGATAGATCAAGTAGACATGCAAAACAGCTTCTCGGAATGTCCAAGCAAAACACTAAAATGGTACAAGAAATTGTCTTTTCACTTATTTGATATCACTGTGCAAAACTCATATGCCATGTTCAACATGAAAAACGAGAAAATTTTCCAAATTTCACAGTTTCGTCTCCAGCTTGCTCGAGAATTCATTGAAGAATACGGATCAAAGCGGCCACATATGAGAGGAAGACCGCCAACCGATTCTTCGCTACGCCTCACTGCTCGTCATTTCATTGCTTTTATTCCAGGAGATAATGTTCAAAGACGCTGTTTTGTTTGTAGTCATCCAGTCAAGCGAGAAAAAAGGGAAGTGACCCATGTCGTTCAATTTTTTATCGTAACGCCGCTATATCGCCAAAACGGCATATTGCGCCGCTATTGAGCACGATATTGGCGTTAATCATCGTGATATATGTAAACGATCCGTGCGTCGCAATCACGCGCAATAGCGTCGCTCACTTCGCTATTTGATTCAATGCAAAAATAACTCTACAACGTATGTTACTCTCATTAGTATTCAATAATATGAATGATNAGAGAAAATCCATTAGACACCTTGACCCCTCATAGAGTCAAGAGCGATGTCCGCTGCTTTTTAAGAACTTTTTGCTTCATCATTCACAAATATGTGATGCTTCTTACTGAGCTTCCATTAGCCGATCACGATCTGTGACGCCATTTACGCGCGTCAGTGTAATGAAGTTGAGAACAGACCTGTCTGTGAGACAATGGGACACAGTTTATTTCGATTTTTTCCTAACAAGCTCGCAGTTTTCATTTTTTAGGTGCGCGTCTTTACAGAAAACAGTCAATTACGGTCAAGTATAGTAACAACTCCAGGACAGACGGGTTATAGGTTACATGCGTGCCAAAAGGCGGGCGGCAACAATAAGTCCCGTTAGACTCCGTAATGATCTACGGCATAAGAATTAGCGGGCGAAAAATCCCTGTCTTCCAAAACTCGTTAACAACTTTCTGCGAGTCCTGTCTTACAAAAAGAATGGAACAGTTAGCTTAATGGCAAATACGTCCGCTGTACATGTTTTTACTGCAAATAGAGTATTAAACCTATAAACCTTAACCGATCATGATTTGCCTAATTCAACTTATATTATAAATGGATATCTGATAGATTAATCTCAGTTCGAACATAAATAGATGTATATCGATATAATTCTACAAGTTTAGGAATAGATAGGGATAGATTTAGTTATACCTGTGTATACCGATGGACATAGGCTGACGTATAGCTCGACTGAGAGTATTCCTGAGACTATGTATAACAAAATCTATTCCTATTTATTCCTAAATATGTGTGGGAGTGTATTTGGAGTTCGTCACTTATAATATAAGTTGAATTAGGCAACTACTCGGGTTTTTGGGCTAGTCGGAGACGGTCTGTAATGAGTTTTGAAAAGCTGCACCCGTTGATCTTCGGCCCTGTCGGTGCCAGTCTGTGGGAGAGGGTGGTCAAAATTTTTACCATTAAATACTTCTCATGTTGGTTTGAATAATTTTTCGAATGAAAAATAATAATTGTCGAGCAAAACAAGAACTTTATCATAGCGGTCGATTTGAACGGGTGTACTAAAAGAAGTGATAGCTATGTGATCATATTACTTACCGCGTGGTGGTCCTGTTGTTGATACTGGCATTGTTGTTGATGATATTGGAATCAACGTTAGATCTATTTTAAAAACAACAATTTTACATTAATTAGAAAAGTTAGAATGAACATTGCATTTTTAGTTAAATGATTTATGTCATGTTTCTAGTAATGTTTTTCAATATTTGAGAAAAAAACCTTTCATTAGGACTGTATTCAAACATCCGCAATCGTTTCATATTCATAAAGGAGTTTAGTGTTTCTGGTCCTTTTAGTTCTCCTATCTCTCAAGCTTGATAAAAAAAAACGATATATTGTGGATTTAAATCAATCGATCGTTACAGAGAACAGTTTTTCTATACTTCTATTTCTCTGAGCATATTCTCATATCGACTAATCTTAATCGATACAAACCGGGCGGGTATCGTGTTGCAATAATTGTAATCATTGTTATAGCATTCATTTCATCTGACATATTCCCGTTTTCATTTAGTGAATCATTAAATAATTGACATTGAGAATTTGATTTATAAAAAGTAGCTGCCATACATTGATTTTGATTTAAACAATCGATTTGACATAGTAGGATATTTGATGTTGTCAGATTGTTAAATGGTGAACAAGTTGATTGTGCACATTGAAATATTTTATCATTGATTATTGTCATTTGAACCGATCGAATATTATCTGCCATTGTTTGTATAATAAACATCAATAATAACAGTAGCCAAACATTTCTTGAAGTCATCTTGACAGTAAATGTTAAATTGATAAAATGAATGGGACTTTAAAGAAAATATTCTTCAATTATATGATTTTTCTCATTTTTTCCGTTTTCTGTGTTTACTGCATTAAGTGAATGAAAGATTATACATTCATGAACGATGCGAGGAGAAAACGAGAGAGAGAATAATTTCACTACTGCATATCTCACTTCTATCGAAAGCTATCATAATTTTCACAATGAAAATCTGTTTTTCGAGGACGTCGAAGAGAATGAAAGATATAGATTTGTTTGTCACTGTTTGATTTATTGTAGAGTAGAGATATCATATTATTTTTCTTTTTATACTGATGAAGAGTGTTTAAAGGAACGAAAAAGTCAAACGCTAGACGGAAAGACAAGGGATTCTAGAACTATTGTCATTAATAAATTTAAATGTACTTTTTAATTAAAGGAGAAGAAAAATCCAATTTTATTCTAGAAAACAGCAAATTCTATACTGAAAATTCGTTGAAAATTCATTTTATACCAAAAAATACGTGAAAGAAAATAGTTGATAAATATCCTTTTTATTCCCCAGATCTTTTCATTTCATTACGATGGTTATTTAAGTTCAAGTATACATAAGCACCTGAGAAGTAAAGTGATGAATTAGAAAACGCTCCGAAGATATAGACTTTCTGTCTGTATAGTCCGTTACAATGATGAAATTCAGTGAATTTTAGTGAACAAATCTTTCTTGAAACATGACAAAATAGAGCAAAAAGAAAAATTCATCGTTATACTTGTTACGTACATTGTTAAATTTCGATTGAAATATTTAAATTGGCTATTTTAGACAAGATAAGGTATGAAAAAGAAAATAGTTGTAGGAAGTGAATTGTATACAAAATAGATCTGTTGGTTAGGTTAGAATCTATTAATTATCGAAAAGCTTTATTCTTTCAAAATTATATTCACTTTCACATCGAGAGTAAGAAAATAACAAAAGTGAGAAACTACACTCGAATAGACATTCAACTCCATTGCGCAGAATGAGTTCTAGAAATGTGCATAACTACGGAATAGTATATGTTATTAAATGTTTTCATAGTATATTTTGATGCTGAATAATAGTTTTTCGAAGTTATTGCCGATAGAATTTTGATGAAAAAGTTACAATTAATAAAACAAAATATCCCATAAGAAATAGTCATGTATCATTATTTGTTTTCGAAGTATAGCAAGAATAACTAAAAGAAAAGGAACAATTTTTTTTTTGTTTTAACATTAATAATTTATTTTTGTGTCATAAAAATTTCTCAAAAAAAGAACATGTCCTTATGACATCTACTTATACAAAAAGTACCCAAGTGTTAGGGTAAAAATATCTCGTTCCAATGTTCAAGAAAATCTTGATACATGAGGAATTGTTACATGAGAAAAAGCAAG